AGTATTTACTTAAAAGTATATCTTAGACACTTATTTACAACAGTACAGATAGTTCTATTTTAATTCCTTTTAGTGGCTGCATAGTATTTTATTGTGTGAAAGAGACATAATTTATTTAACCAGCTCCTATTGATGGACGTTGCATTGTTTGTATTTACCATTATCAATAATTCTGTATTTATATATATATATATATATAATTGTGCATCTACGTGAATATACCTGTGAGATAAATTTCTAAAAGTGCATATAAAAGTTCTGAGTCCAGCAAGTAAACATATGCATTTAAAATTTTGATAAATCCCATTCCAGTACATATATCTCTAAAAAAAGTGATAGAGCCGGGCGCGGTGGCTCAAGCCTGTAATCCCAGCACTTTGGGAGGCCGAGGCTGGTGGATCACGAGGTCAAGAGATCGAGACCATCCTGGTCAACATGGTGAAACCCCGTCTCTACTAAAAATACAAAAAGTTAGCTGGGCATGGTGGCGCGTGCCTGTAATCCCAGCGACTCAGGAGGCTGGGGCAGGAGAATTGCCTGAACCCAGGAGGCGGGGGTTGTGGTGAGCCGAGATCGGGCCATCGCACTCCAGCCATGGTAACAAAAGTAAAACTCCATCTCAAAAGAAAAAAGTCTTCTAGTTGACTTGATGATTGTGACTTTGAGCTAGGGACTGATTTTGCAAAAAAAAAAAAAAAAAGTGATAGATATTGCCAAGTTTCCCTCCAAAAGAGATTGCATCAATGTATGTTCTTATAACAGTGTGCAAAAAGATATGTTTAATCTCCAACACTGAACTTTAATCTTTGTTAAGATAATGTTTTTAAGCGTCTCATGATTGTTATTACAGTTTTAAAATTATGATTCAGGTGAACATGTTTTCATATACTGTTGGGCATTTGCATTTTTTCCCAATGAAAAGATGTTCAGGTTGGACAAAACTTAAAAAAAAAAAAAACAGTAGAAAAAAATTAGGCAAAGGACTTTTTTTCTTATTCATTTTTAAAAGCTCTTTGTATATTGAGGAAATTAGCTTTTTGTCATCCATGTTCTACACTTATTTTTTCATTTTGTTCTTTGTCTTTTGGATGTTCTTCCATATACATACAAAAGATTTAAATTTTTAATACTTAAATTTATATTTTGTCTTTTGTATTTGAAATATAGTTTAAAAGATTTTTCCCACTCTAAAATTACAAAAATTTTCCAGACCAGGCACAGTTGCTTAATTCTGTAATCCCAGCACTTTGGGAGGTCAAGGCGAGAGGATCACTTGAGCCCAAGAGTTGAAAACCAGCCTGGGCAACATAGGGAGACCCTGTCTTTACAAAAATAAAAAAAAAAAAATTATCATGCTTGTGGTCCTAGTTGCTTGGGAGGCTAAGGTGGGAGGATCACTAGACCCAGGAGGTTGAGGCTGCAGTGAGCCATGATCGCGCTATTGCATTCCAGCTCGGACAAGAGTGAGATTGTCAAAAAACAAAACAAAACAAAACAAAAAAAACCTTGAGTTTTCTTTCTGGTTTATTATGACTTCATTTTTTATATTGTGTTCAACCTGAATTTTATTTTAATATTGTGAGGTAGTTACCCAACAGGTCCAATTGTCTCAACACCATAAACTGAATGATTTATCTTTTTTCTACTGATTTCAAATGCTGCATTTGTGTATGCCCATGTATAATTGGACCTATTTCTGAATTCTCTATGCTGCTCCCTTTGTCTGTTTACTTCAGTTTCAGTAACAGACAATTTTAGTTATTGTAGCTTTAACGGGTATCTTTAAATATGCTAAGACTCATTTCTCTATGTTAAAATTTTTCTAACTATCACTGAGTGTTAATTTATGTATTATTTAGCATCATTTTGATAAAGTCAAAAGAAATCTGTTGATATTGTGATAGGAATTATTTTGAATTAATAGATTACTTAGGAGGAGTTGGCATTTTATAATATTTAGGCTTTTATCTAGGAATAAACTACATCTCTCTGTTTATTTTATTATGACCCTTAGGGGAGTTCTGAAGTTAGGCTTATTCATAGGTATTCGAGGGAGAGAGAGAGAGAGAGAGAGAGGAGAGAGAGAAAGAAGCTAGTTTTATTCATATATATATATATATATATATGTATAGCTACATGTAGATCCTCTCGCCTTGACCTCCCAAAGTGCTGGGATTACAGAATTAAGCAACTGTGCCTGGTCTGGAAAATTTTTGTAATTTTAGAGTGGGAAAAATCTTTTAAACTATATTTCAAATACAAAAGACAAAATATAAATTTAAGTATTAAAAATTTAAATCTTTTGTATGTATATAGAAGAACATCCAAAAGACAAAGAACAAAATGAAAAAATAAGTGTAGAACATGGATGACAAAAAGCTAATTTCCTCAATATACAAAGAGCTTTTAAAAATGAATAAATATATATATATCTACATGTATTTATACAGGTAGATATACATACATATGTATATATCTACAGAGAGAGAGAATACCTAGGAATAAACCTAACTTTAAACTCCCCGAAGTGTCATAATAAAATAGCAGAGATGTAGTTTATTCCTGGATAAAAGACTAAATAATATAAAATGCCAACTCCTCCTAAGTAATCTATTAATTCAAAATAATTCTGTCAGACTAGAGAGAGAGAGAGAGAGAGAGAGAGAGAGAGAAAGGGCTTTTCTCTTTCATTTATTTATTTATTTTTTTGAGACAGAGTCTCAATGCATCACCTAGGCTGGAATGCAGTGGCATGATCTCAGCTCACCACACATCCACCTCCCAGGTTCAAGCGATTCTTGTGCCTCAGCCTCCAGAGTAGCTAGGACTACAGGCCTGTACCACCACACCCAGCTAATTTTTATATTTTTTGTAGTGACAGGGTTTTGCCATGTTGCTCAGGCTGATCTTGAACTCCTGACCTCAAGTGATCCACCTGCCTCAGTCTCCCAAAGTGCTGGAATTATAGGTATAAGCCACTGCACTGGGCTCTTTTATTATGTTTTCTAGCTAACTATTGTTTATTTAATTGTTTACTTATAAGAAAGCTAAGGATTATATTGATAATTAGAATACTTCTAATATTTTTGAGTCAAGCATAATTTTGACTTTGGCCTGGATGTTTACATGTTTTTCTGCTCTGTAATGAGATTTTAAAATGAATAAATCAAAGTATAAACAGGTCGTTGGTCAAAGGTTTACTTTAAAACCCAATCCATGCCCAGGCTTGCTGTCTGGGCCTACCCAAGAAGCCTTCTCCTGCAGACCCCAGGTCAGCTAAGACACTGAGCTTGTGCTCAGCACCAATCTTCTAGATCAGTTCAACTCAAATTCCTTGTCAGACTTGTAAGATACATGAGGAAGCAACTGAGTGGGGCCCATGGGGACCTGTCTTCAGGGGGCAGCAGCTACTGCTACTGAACCCCAATACCCATGACCACATGGGAATATGACCCAGTATGGCCAGATTTTCCAGATTTTCAAGGGAATCCCGAAATCCAGAGTTTTATTTTCTAAATGTTGACTTAAATTTTTAAAAGCTCTATCTAGACCCAACTAAACATGTCTATGGGTTAGATTGGCCCTTTGGCCAGCCGGTCACCACTTGACCACTTCTGTAGACAAGATTCTCAGAAAGGCAACCACAGCCTCAATTCTTAACAGGATTATTTTCCACCTAAAGAGGTACGTGCATACACCATAGGATGCCCAAGCTCTTGCCCCATCTCAGGTCGAAGTCACCCTTGCCACCTGACTGGTCCTCACGTAGTGCTCAAAGCCACAAATAAGACCCTGCTGCTTCCGCCTAAGCCCCAGTGCTGACCTGTCAGCCCAGGTCTCGGAGCTGGGCCCTCCCTGCTTTGCTGCTTTGGCCTAAGGGACCCCGTCCACTGTTCTAACCCAAAAGCACCCACAGTCTACGTGCATGTCTATGAGTCCCGCGTCACTGTCACTATTCACTGTGCCCTGCCTACCAGCCCACACGGGTGTTCTGCTACCTCAGACTAGACCCACGGCTCTGGCCCAAGTGTGGCTTGCCAGCGGCGCCCTGTCTATTTGTGCAGTATCCGAAAGGACAGCCAAGAGCTGGCAGCTGAACCTGTCCGTATGGAGTCGGCTCCACATTATCCCAGCACAGCTGGGCCAGGGGTCTGCCCGTCCCAGCCCTCGCGTCCAGCCCTTCTGCAGCAGCAAGCCAGCAAGCCCCATGGTGACCTGCCACAGGGAGAGGGTTCTGAGAGGATCCTAACAGCTACACATATTGGGCGCTTACCGTGTGCCAGACAAGAGTCCAAGCACCTTCCACGTACGAGCCCAATTCATTCTCACAGCAGCCCCCGGGCTGGGTGCTAGCACTAGTGCTAGGTGCAGCTTAAAGCCACAGCCCAGACGCCTACATGACTCACCCAAGACTGCACAGCTAGGAAATGGCACCATCACACTCAACAGTGTGTCTCCAGGACCCACCCGCCTCATCTCTACACAGGCAGCTAAGGAGTCTGGCCCTGGGCCTTCCAGAGGGCAGCTACTTTGCAACTGCAAAGCACCTTCCAGCCTAAGCTGCCTGCTATTTTTGACTCAGCCTCTGCCTGGAAATCTGAGATGCCAACAGTGACCTGTACAGAATCCCATTCCTCCTTGAAGCTGGTGCCCACCAGGGCAGGCTTTCTCATGAAAGCAATAAACCCCAGGTCTCTGAACACTCAGCCCCACCCATGGGGGCCCCTCTGGCAGGAGCCTTCCTGCCCTCCCAGCCCCCTCCAGCCCACAGTCCATCTAGCATTTGTTCTCCCCGGCTTCATTGGAACCTTATCCAGCCATGTCTCATCACAGCTGCAACCCTGGCCCCAGCACCCGACCTGTTCCCAGACCTCATACCCTCGTTAAAACAAAAATGGCCAATCACATTCAAATGCACCAAGGAGCCACTCTTCCCACCACACACTCTTCTGTCTCTCTCTTCCTTCCCCCCTCATCCCCCACTCCCCAGGTGCCCTCACCTGTCACAATGGGGTAGGACTGCGGGCCTGGCACGCTGCTCCCGATGTCAGCAGGGGTGGGGCTGGCCAGGTTGGCCTTCATGTCATCCAGCCCACCAGCCAGCGAGGCCATGGCTGAATACTCTGTGGTCTGAAAGAAGAAACAGAGATATCTCAGCACCAAGACTCCACAGTACCCTAGTCAAATGCCAACTCCAGGTTCTGAGCTCAGCCACCAAGCCGGGTTAATCCATGCCTGTGCCAAGGCCCACAGGGGGCTCATGAATGCCCCCAGTATTGAAAGGGCAGAGTCAGCTTGGTGGAACGAGACAGCTGTTCAGAATCAACAATTCTTCCCAGGAGAGGAGGTAGGCCGGACTCAGTGCAACTTCACAGGAATCCAGACTTAGCTCCCTCCAGCCTGCAGGCTGCCCTCACCCAGCTCCAGTCGGCCAGAGACCCCATGCTCCTCCATGCAGGGATGGAGGGTCAGTAACCAAAAGCAAGGCAGAAATAAGTGTCTTCTTGCCGAGAGAATGGAAAGAATGGTTTCTGATATCTGTGCTCTTAAACCACAAAAGTAGAATCACAGAAACAAGGGTTACGAGGAACCTGGGAGATCATCCGGTCCAAATCCTCATTTCACAGATGAATAAATTGAGGCTCGAGGGAGGAGGGCTTTACCCACCATCAACAAGGCAGAATACCGGTTGGGGTGGGTCACCATGAATTCCCATCCTAATCCAATATGTCAAACCAACTGAACCACCATTTGGCAAGTGTTTTTGAATTCTAGAAGAAGGTAAACACCTGTATGCTGAAAACCACGGGGTGCACACATCAGATTAAACAAGTGCACGCCAACCATGTGCATCTGGCCCATGAGTCATGATCCTTTCTTTAAGCCATTTCATGAAATCAGAGTTTGCAATGAGTCCTTACTTTGTCATCCAAGCCATTGTCAGAATGGTCTCTAGAGAAGGCAGCAAAGGTGCCAACCTGGATCTTCCAACTAAAGAATAGACTAAATTATAAGCATGAGTGACAAGTCTCTTCCTCCCCGCCAACCCCAGGGCCTGCTTTCAGGTAAAGAAAATATATGCGGCTGGGCGCAGTGGCTCACACCTGTAATCCCAGCACTTTGGGAGGCCAAAGCGGATGCATCGCTTGAGCCTAGGGGTTCAAGATCACCTTGGGAAATACGGTGAAACCCTGTCTCTACAAAAAATACAAAAATTAGCCAGGTGTGGTGGCATTTACCTGTAGTCCCAGCTACTGGGGAGACTGAGGTGGGAAGATTGACTGAGCCCAGGAGATCAAGGCTGCAGTGAGCCATGATCATGCCACCGTACTCCAGCCTGGGTGACAGAGCAAGACTCTGTCAAAAACAAAAAAAGAAAGAAAAAGAAGGAAGGGAGGAAGGGAGGAAGGAAGGAAGAGAGGGAGGGAGGGAGGGAGGGAGGGAGGGAGGGAATTTGCAAACACTTAAGCCAACAAATTTGTTTGTGCATGTGAAGATTTGGTGCGGGGAGTTTCCTCCAGGACCCTGGCATTGCTGATGGAGGACACACCCCTGTTGGTCCAGGGTTATGTCCTCGTCAGGCAGGGACTCGGAAGCAAGCAGTCTTCTGGAAGGAGCTATAGGCACCCTGAGTAAGATGATGACTGAGCCACTGGGAGGGAAACCAAAGGAGCCACTGGCAAGTGGCAGGCAGGAGGGGCTCAGACTCAGGCACATTCCTGGTATCTTTCCCTTCAAATCAGAGAGTACTTCCTGGGCAGCTAAGGTGCCAACTGGGGGTGATGGTAGCAGTGAGTCCAGGAGGTGCTGCAGGCCCAGGCGTTAGATGACTCATGCTGAGGACAGCTTGTCCAGAGTTCCCCAGGGCTCTTCGGCCCTCATCCATTGAAAACTGGTTCTGAAATATGTAGAGAAGAGCACAGGCCCAAAGCAAGCCCAGGTCTTTCTAAGGAAGAAGAACAAGGCCAGGGGACAGGCTTACCAGGCATCAGGAATCACTATAGAGCTACAGTAATTAAGACAGGGTGGTATTGGCACAGGGGTAGATAAATAGCCCAATGAAACAGAATCTAGTCAGACCCTGATCCGTGCACATATGGAACTGTGATATATGAAGGAGGTGGTGTACAAATCAGCAGGAAAGGATGGACTCTTTAATAAACAGGGCGGGGGTAACTGGTTATCCATTCAGAAATGGGGGAAAAAAAGAAATTGGATCTTTACACGAGACACGAAAATCAATTCCAGGTGGATGACAGACCTAAATTAGGGCAAAGGCATCTAATGTGGTCAGCTCTAGGACCCAGCCAAAAATCCCTCGGAACAAATCTGTCCTTCATGGAAGGAGGAGTTCCTTTTCTGGCCTGGGATGCTCACACAGGGTTCCTGCTCACTGTGGGATTAGTAGAGGGACCCAGTCATCCTGCTGCCCTGTCTCAGTACCTCCTCCTCCAGGAAGTCTTTCCTGACCACCATTCCCCAGGAAGTGTGAGTCCCACGCTCATTCTGCTGGCCCCACCAAGTGGTGCCAGGGCAATACCAACCACAGTCTTCACAATTGCATCAAACTCTCACACTCACTGAGCACTCACTCTGTACCAGGAGCTTCAGCTGCACTATCCCATTTAATCCTCATAGTCACCCCTTGAAGCAGGCTCTATGACATGCCCATTTTACAAATGAAGAAACTCAGGCTTCTATGATAGAGTGGGAATGACTTGCCTAAGTTCATACAGCTTCTAGGTGCCCACACCAGGATTCAAACCTGGGTCCCTCTGACTCCAAAACCTGGACAATGACCCTAATGGTTTTTATACTGTGAGAACCTGATCCATTAAAACACAGTGAGATCAACTTGCTGGTCCCAACATTTTTATAAACGGAACTGAACAAAAAATACGCAAGGGTGTCCCACATAGAAAGGCTAAGCCCTGTTTTGTGAATCGTTATTTCCCATGTCAGTGTGCATGTGTGTATAAGGTAGAGATTCAGATGTGTTTCTTGCTATAGGTCACAGCCAGCAAAGTTTGGAAAATACGGCCTTCATTCCATGCAGGAGGAGCTAATGGAAAAAGGTCGCTGCCTAGACTTCCTCTTCTGTAGAACAAGACTTAGTCGTGCCATTATCCTCCTAATATTCTGAGAATGAACTGGGCATGAATTTGGAATTCCACTCACCAGACGCAAATCCTTCAGTTCACTGCTGTGTGCAAAGACAGCAGGTCAAAATGCTTCTGACAAGGGTCTTTTCCTAGATGGCATCTTCTAGTTTCTGGGCCCCCAGGGGTAGGTCCCAATTCCTCCCTCCTCTCTGCATTCTCGAATGCCCTAGTGAAGGCCTGAGCAGAGTGGGCATGCATTCATTCAACCTTTACTGAGCCCTGTTGTGTGCAATATGATGTGTGAAGACCAGACACACCCTTTGACCCTTACCCACAAACCCCAAGAGAAGACACATTGGCCCAGAAATTCCATCCAAGAGGGACAGAAGCACAGAGTCATTAATGTCCATGGGGTGTGAAGCGGTCAGGAAAGGTTTCTTGACGTAGGCTGTATTGAACCCGGGACTGAACAATCCCTAACTCCCAAGGCTGAGAACAGCTGAAGACAGGCTCAGGGGTAATAGGACAGGAGTGACCCAGAAACAGGGCACTGTGAGGGGTGAAAGTGTAAAGGGGAAGGATGGAAAAGTAGAGTAGCTGGACCTCGATTGTGAAGGGCTTGCACATTGAACACTGGGTGAACCAATGAAGGAGTGTTCTTCCTAGGGCCAGGCAGAATCCCAGCCAAGAGTCAGCATCCCTGCGCCCCTCCCAGCCACCCTGGGGCCTGTCCCATTCCCAGGCCTCAGCCTCTCCTCTCTGACATGGGCTGGGCTACGGGGTCTGCAAGGGAAAGCCTTTATTTCTCCTAAGAAAGCAGAGCCAACCTGGGTTTAAGAGAACTGCAGAAAGGGTGGCCATAGGATATATCCTGCCTCTTAACATATTTAATTTCCAGATGGAAGAGCTATGTTTTGCTATTTGATTTTTGTTTTAGTCAACAAATTCAGTATCAAAGCTCATCCAGCCACTTCAAAATTTGGGTTTGGATCATCTTTTTAAGACATGAAATCTTCAACTTATGATATGCATGCAATGCGAGGTCCAAAAATTCAGGCGTCCAACCAGAAAGCAAAGCAAATCTCCCTATGAGCCGGGCCCTGGGAGATGGCAGGACTCAGAAATGAGTCCTCAGTTGTACTTCACCATCTGTGCCTGCCTGCCTTTCTTTCCCTCCCTCTCTTTCTTTTCTTTTCTTTTCTTTTCTTCCTTTCTTTCTTTCTTTCTTTCTTTCTTTCTTTCTTTCTTTCTTTCTTTCTTTCTTTTCTTTCTTTCTTTCTTTCTTCTTTCTTTCTTTCTTCTTTTTTTTTGGGAGGGGTCTTGCTCTGTCACCTAGGCTGGAATGCAGTGGCACAATCTTGGCTCACTGGAACCTCTGCCTCCCAGGTTCAAGTGATTCTCCTACCTCAGCCTCCTGAATAGCTGGGATTACAGGTGCATGCCACCATGCCCAAATAATTTTTTGTATTTTTAGTAGAGATGGGGTTTCACTATTTTGGCCAGGCTGGTCTTGAACTCCTGGTCTCAAGTGACCTGCCTGCCTCGGCCTCCCAAAGTAATGAGATTACAGGCGTGAGCCACTGCACCCGGCCATCTGTGCCTTTCACCACCACCACCTTGCAGGGCTGGAGTGCAATGGCATGATCTCGGCTCACTGCAACCTCTGCCTCCAAGGTTCAAGCAATTCTCCTGCCTCAGCCTCCCGAGTACCTGGGATTACAGGCATGCACCACCACACCTGGCTAATTTTGTATTTTTAGTAGAGATGGGGTTTCTCCATGTTGGTCAGGCTGGTCTCGAGCTCCCGACCTCAGATCTCCCAAAGTGCTGGGATTACAGGTGTGAGCCACCACACCCAGCCTCCTGTCTTCTTTGGTGGGATTCCCTCGGCCCTTACGCTGCCCCTGCATGAGCCAGAGGAGGCTGTCAATTAGTTTTGGTGTTTAATTGTTCCCTAAGTCCTAATCACTGTTTGTCCTTTTGAGGTGTCTATGATTTTTGAAGGCAGCTGCATTCTCCCCAGTCTCT